TAATAAATTATATCATATTATTAATCTTAAATTTTAATTCTAAAACTTTGATCTCATTTACTATCATCCTTTTAAACTCAACAACATGATAAAGAGAAGACGATTTTTTTGGGTGCATGTAATTCAATTAAAAACTGATGAAAGCATGAAAATGTATATTTAAAGTGTGCTTAACCATTGACATTTGTGGAATTATGAGTTTAAGAGTTTTATTTTTCTATAGATAATTTCATAAGTGTTCATTTATTCATGTTGTACAAATTTTATGGTTGTAATTGCACCAAACCAGAAGTCCTTCTTCAATCCGCGCTTGTACTCCAGGATGACCTGCAAAGCCCCGAGGTGAAACTCGGGGTAGACACTCCGATGCTTAAGTCAACAATAATCGAGACTACCTTTGGAGCAGAGATAAAAAGAACTTAGGGTTGGTTTCAATTACCTTTCTGAGGTGGCCCTTGAGGGGTATTTATATGTTCCAATGGAGAACCCGTGTTGGCCTGCCAAGCGAGATACTCGGGACCGGGAATTTGAGACATATTCAAGTGTGGGCATACGCACCATAACTATTGTATAGCCTGTCATAAGAAATCAGGTGCGTGCCTGTTCACGATAACTATTATGCAGCTGGGTTTACTTTTCACTTCGATTGTTGAAGAATTATTTAGTATGTCCGAGGTGGGCACCTCGGACCTATCCTTACAATGGTGATTGAAGGTTGATGTTAAATGGAGAGAATTAGAAGAAAAAGGACTTAAATGCAAAGAGCTGAAAAGATGAGGATCTAAGGATAAATCAAAAGTTTAAAGGCTCAAGAGTCAAGGACCCAGACTGTTATTCTGCCATTAAGCAAAATTGCACAAAAGGCCTAAAACCCGACACAGAGGATGCAGCTGACGCTCCACTCAAAGTGCCGGCACCTTGTAAAGAGTGTCGACCCCTTGCGCAGTAATTCAGCCCAGCCCAACCTCCATTCTAATTAAGGTTTTTAGGATTCTATAAATACCCATCTAAGTTATTTTAGAGGGAGTTCCAAGGGGCTGGAGAGGCTGCTACCAGACTTCTATTTTCTTCTTCAAGACTAGAGAATTATGTCAAAGGGCAACTAAACTTTCAACAAAACTAGGGAGGATCTTAATTGAAGAGTTTGATTTGTTATTTTATTTTGATTCCTTCATAAATTTTATTGTTTAATTTTATTTTGAGAGATTGTTAATTATTTTCAGATCTGAAAACCCTGAAAATTATATTTATCAAATTTCATATAAGATTAGTCATGCTCTTTTTACGTGTGATTTGTTAGAATATAATTGATTGGTAGATTTGTTTTGCGGGTTGATCTTTTACTGCAGTATTGTCGATTAGATATATTGTCGCTCTCGGATAGCTCGTAAGGATATATCAGTTTGTTCTTCATTGAAATTAATTTTTCTCAGAATAAATACATTAGTCATTATTATTGGTTTTCAAAGTTGAATCTTCCGATTGTTTGTTTGGGATGTGAAACATGCAATTGAGTAATAAATAGGAATCAAAATTTATAACAGTTAAAC